CGTCGCTACACTGGAAGACCACCTTCTTCCAACCACTGGTGAATCGATTGAAATTTACTGCGCATCAAGCTTGTGCATACGGGTCCAGCCGGCCCAAATGGACGGCGCTTGCACATAACACCACTACCTTGTTGAAACTCAATCATGTTTGCCCTGGTATTAGTGCCTTGCATAAACATAAGCCTTGGGGTGTTGTTAATGGGCCAGCCGGCTGCAAATTTTCAACTGCAGAGGAAACTGCCTATCCCTTAGCATTGGCATATCGCATTGCGTATTCCCTGGCCCAAGAACTGGTTTTGCAGGGTTGGAATCCTCCACCGGTTGCCTTTTGCCCCCCAGACGAAGTCTCATACCAGTATCTTCGCTCGGTAGTTGGTGTTCAGCCCAAATCCAGTAAAATTGCTCCGCTAGTGTCCGAATTTCGCCAAATTCTGTGTATCCATGTGCCACTTGATTGTGCAGTGCCTGTCCCGCCTGGGGACAAGTTGCAATCGCCCTGGTTTGACATTCCATCAGGGTCTTGTCTTCTCAAAAAACCTCCCCTCCGGCCAAATGGGGGTATTGCCAGTGACACCATCCCTTGTAATAATGGTAACCAATCCCACAGTCTTAATAATGGAAACCAATCCCATAGTCTCGCCCAGGTAAATCCTAAGAACCCATCAGATGGCAGCTCTGCGAAAATGTCCAAAGAGTTGCATTTTGGAGTTTACAGGTTGTGTGATCAGTTCATTTCTGCAGCCGCCTGGGCTGGACATCCCGCTGGGGGTGAGACTAGGTTACCACTTGCCCTGCAAGGTGTCTTGGAGTTCCTGTCTTCGAGGTCGCCAAAGGAAGTCGCCAGACATAGGTCGGATACCTTGAATTTCTGGCTCAACCGAGGCCGAGACTTGTGCAATGAAGAAAAGAAGCTACATGAGTCCTTGCATCCTTCTTTGAAGAGCATCCTTGCTGCTGTGGAAGGAAATGCTTGAGTATTATCAATATCCTGATGTTTCGGTATTTGATGAAGTCGTTTCGGGCGTAACTCTTTCTGGTGCTGCTCCTGACGTGCCTTTCTTTGAACCAGGCTTTAAACCTGCCAAGGTTACTGAGAGTGAATTGGCATCATCTGCTGCTGCTAAGGCCTCCCGTGTTGGTCAGGTGATGCAGAGATCGACCGTGAGGTTTTCAACAAGACCCAGGATGAGGTCTCGTGCGGCTGGCTCGAGGGCCCCATTGATGCAGGTTCCCTTGAACCAAGTGCAGTTGTCAGCAGACGGTTTGGAATTCGACAGTCTTCCGGTGAGGCTGTTAAGATTCGTTTGATTGACGATTTCACTGCATCCAACCCAAACCAGACAGTGCAGGTGGAGAATGCTCCGAAGTTGCACACCCTAGGCATTGTGGCGGCCCTGTGTATGGAACTGCTCCGCCAGCATGGAGACTCTGAATGGCTAGGCAAGACCATTGATTTATCCTCTGCTTACCGCCAACTTGGTGTCTCCCAGCATTCTCGATGGGTTTCATATATTGCTGTATACGACCCTTCTTCAAAAACGGCTAAAATTTACTCCATGCGTGCGCTGCCTTTCGGAGCCAGCAGATCTGTGTATTCGTTTCTCAGGTAGCCCACTCTTTGTGGTGGCTCGGTTGTGTCGCCCTGAAGTTCCCATGGAGTAGCTTCTTTGATGACTTTATAACCCGCTGCAGAAAGAATGAGGCGCCCACCATGGAAATTGTAACTTCGCAGTTTTTCCGTTTGCTTGGGTGGCTGATGTCGGAAGGGGACAAGAACCTCCCATTTGCTAGTTCCTTCAAAGCGCTGGGCGTTGAGATTGACTGCTCCCGGTGGCAATCTGGATGGGTCCTCTTCCGCAATACTCAGAAAAGGATTGACGAGCTCCAGTCCACAATCGCCCAAGCGATCCAATGTGGCAGGTTGAGTGCCAAGAATGCATTAGTGCTGAGAGGCAGGATGCAGTTTGCCAGGGGCCAGATCTGGGGACGCTCTGCAAAACTGTGTCCATCAGCAGTTACCGCTCATGCTTATAGCGACTGTCGCGATTCATTATCAGAGCATGCCATAGCTTGCCTGCAGGCGTTCATGGACAGCTTGGTGGCGGCAAGACCCAGGGAGATTACAGCCATGTGGGATAAACCAATGCTATTGTTCACCGATGCTAGCTTTAACCCTGATGATTCTCATTGGCCGTGTGGCCTGGGTGGGGTGCTCTGTAATGAGACTGGTAAACAGTTGGCTGCCATATCCATTTCATTGACTGAAGTCGACCTGAACATTCTGGGGTACCCCTTGAAGTCCACAGTTATTTTCGAAGCAGAATTGCTTGCACTGGTGCTTTGTGTGAAGCTCTGGAGAAAGTTATTATGCAATCGCCCTTGTGTCATGTACGTTGACAACAATGGAACCAGGGATGTAGCGATAAGCGGCAGTGCAAGATCCTGGCCGGGGTCCTCCTTAGTATCAGCTTTACTCAGGCAGGAAGATGCTGCTTGTCTGACTGCCTGGTATGCAAGGGTTCCGTCCTCCAGCAATGTTGCTGAGGCCCCGTCCCGAAATTCTTCTCAAGGCATCCATGTAAAATTTCTGTCAGTCGATTTAGTGAGGCCCCATTTAAATAGACTGATAGGCGATCTCAAGCACAGCGGTTAAGGTGGTTAGTCTGGGTGACATGCACATGGAATGAGCTGGAGACGTTTTTCCTTTTTGTGATGGGCCATCCAGGCCGTGAGACCTATGGAGGTCTTTGAAATTGCAGTTGGAAAATGTGAGATGATGTGACAGATGAATGTCACCGTGACAGTGTGATCCAGCTTGGAACGATTTGAGATTTCTCCCCATGCTTTTGCAGAAAAAGCTGAGTGAGTGATTGCGTTTCAGATTCAGCATGTGATGGCAGTTTTTCACATGTCCGCATGTCGCATGTTGTTTTTGTTTTTTTTGTGTTTTTCGTTTTTGCGTTTTTACGGCGCGTAACTTGGAAGGATGACTTCTACACTTGGCGTCTAAGCGTGTAACTTAAGCAAACTGTCAGGAATTGATAGCGCCTTAAGTTAAACAGCGTGCGCAAATTTAAATAAATTTTTGAGCCAAGCAAAACCTGCGCAACGAAAAACATCCAAAGTCCGGAAAGTAACCTTCACAAATTCTATGAAACCTGACACCGCTATCGCAATATATGTGCGCCTTGTTTTGGATGATCAAACCATATTTTATGTGAACCGTTTGTGAATCACGGTTGACCATAATATGAACGCGTGGTTCGGATGATCGAACCCTTTTTCAAATTTGAATCTGGCGCGAAGTTGTCTTATTCTCTTTCTTTGTTTTCTGTTTGAAACTTTGATTTGAGTTGGAGATGTTCCAACCTTGTGAGCTGATTCACAAACATGAATGCAAACATGTCAGCACCAGTGATCAGCTTCTTTTAAACAAACGTGAAACGATCTTGGATGCAGTTTGTTTAACCTGTGTTAATGTCGATTGTGTCACTCATTCTCATGTCATCAAGTAATGTTTGGTTTCAAGTGGGTTTTGTCCCACCCAATCTCTGATTTCCCACACTTTGTCTCAGTGCTGACTGCACATCCTGAACCACCAGCTTCGCTCAAGCTCGTCGATCCGATCTCATACATACCTCACCATGCACCAAGGTGAGCTGAGCCTGTTAGCCTGCGGCATTAGCATCATTTTGCAATACATGAACGATAGCCTGGGACAGCATGATCCCACAGAGTGGACGCTGAAAGCGTCACGATGCGAAACCTTTGAGGAGGTCCTTGCAGGATGCGATTTCCTCTTACAGTGCTGCGGCCGTGCAACCTTTTTGGCCTCAGTGTACCAAATGTGGTCGCTATGCACGAATGCGTTGTACCACTTCGAGACCATGCATTGGCCTGATATGCCAGCTGAGACGCGCATGCACCTCACCACGCCGGAGATTCCATTGAAACTCTCCGCAATTTTGAGAGCGGCATGGGTGTCCTATCATCCACGTCTCAATTTGGCACTCGCGGCATTAGTCCGCTTCAAAGCTCGGTTTTTGGAAAATTCGACTCAGTCGCTCATCGCGACACGCTCACCATCGTGAATGACTGTATTCTCATTTTCGGTTGATTTGGTTGAGTTGCACGCCGCTGCACACAATCCAGTCCCTGCTGAACCATCAGCTGCTACGGGATCGTCCTCAACCTCGTGATCCCCTTGCGGGTAGTCTGGGTGACATGCACATGGAATGAGCTGGAGACGTTTTTCCTTTTTGTGATGGGCCATCCAGGCCGTGAGACCTATGGAGGTCTTTGAAATTGCAGTTGGAAAATGTAAGATGATGTGACAGGTGAATGTCACCGTGACACTGTGATCCAGCTTGGAACGATTTGAGATTTCTCCCCACGCTTTGGCAGAAAAAACTGAGTGAGTGACTGCGGTTCAGATTCAGCATGTGATGGCAGTTTTTCACATGTCCGCATGTCGCATGTTGTTTTTTTTTTTTTGTGTGTTTTTCGTTTTTGCGTTTTTACGGCGCGTAACTTGGAAGGATGACTTCTACACTTGGCGTCTAAGCGTGTAACTTAAGACATGTCATGTAAGACACGTGCATGTCCGCAGCCCCTTTTGAGCACACGCCGTGCTTCAAGGAAAAGGTGCGACGCTTGAGTGGTGCGCTAGGTTTGTAACTACGACTGAGCCCAATACGCCCGACCACTGCTACCTCTGCTTGTGGTGCAGGTTTTGATTTGATGTGCCTTTTTTACACCCTTGTTTTTCGAAAGTCCATGTTTGTCCGGTTGTTCACACAATTTTTTCAGTTGAACATCCTGGTTGGGAACGAAATTTCGTTGAATCTTCATGGTGTTTTGAAACCCAGGAATCAAAAATGCATCATACCGGTTGGGAAAATTTTATGATTGCTGATTTGGCGGTTGACATTATTCATGAAATTTGTTTCCAATTTTTTGTGACTACATTTATAAAAATGTTTGAAGTGTTTCAGCATCTGAAGCTATTGTGGCTCCAACGTAGGAGGTGCAGTGGCGTTGTGTATTTTCCTTTCGAGCGGTGCTTTGTGCCTGTTCGAGCAGCTTGGCAAATAAATTGAACACGTACTTTTGCCATGAATTCAAATAGTTTGGACCATTTTTTTGCCACATTGGGTTAATATCAACATGCAGGACCTGCAGGAATTATTTTTTAACCGGATTCTAGTTGAAACACCACGCCTTTTGGGTTGGGGTATTCACATTGTGTTGTGTTTACTACGCTTGCTGAGATCACCCGAGATGTGGCCAGTGTTAATTGTCTTGGAGCTGGTCAGCATTGTGGCTGCCAACGATTTCGCATTTGTGGCGCCCAGCTGGCAAAATTTGGAACTCAGCGCTGGGCAGACGCGAATCACCCCAGTTGTCCCAGAGGTGAACAATGGATTTCCGAAGCAGGCCATGTGGGTCAAAGGATACCTGATACCTTCAAGTACCATGACAGCGTATGATTGTTTTTTGGGTGCCAGTTTAAACACACGCACAGACAAATGTCCAGAACATAGCCACGGGAAATGGCATGTTGGGAAATGATTTCTTCATTCATGCAAAACCATGTCAATAGATGCGGAGAAAACCTTATATAGAAAGTATGTAATTAATTCGGTTGAAAAAAAAATTGGACAAAAATATCCAGTGTTTCAGAAAAGGGGAAATTTGCAAAATCCCCACAAGGTTTCAAATGGGAGATCAACAAAGGATCCACACACTCATCAAAGGCACTACATGTTTGGCACTGCAAAACCACGTTGGAGAGATGGAAACGGTCACAAGTTAAAGGTGGCAAAATCAAAAAATCACCAAAGCGATATATATTTTTCGTTTATTTACTTATGTACATGGTGCACGCACGCACACATACATACACTGCTGACGTACTAGATGTGGCAATTATGGCACACATCAAAAACAAATTTGAACCATGAACGGATGATTTTTTTTAAATGACGAATAGCAAGCGGAACGCAAGCCAACCAGATTTGTGACATTTCAAAAACACATAAAACACATAAAACACATTCAAGTGGAATTTTAGAGTTCAATCCACACTGCACAGATGTACTTCGTGTTAGATCCCCAGACCTTGCCATGGTGGCCTCATGGGATCCCGTGGAACACCACATGAAAAATGATTGATTACTAGAATTTATACGGGTTTATCATTTATAATAACGTTTATCAGTTTATCACTATATTTGTTTTGGGGCATCATCAATAGAATCATTATAATCACTAGACATTACTATTATATTATCATTGTAATTACCATAATCATTATGCTATGATTGCTATGATTATCACTAATCCCCCCCTCAAGCGTTCAGGCCAAAAGCGGTACAGCGAGCAGCGCTGCCTTCCTTCTGGGAGCTTCGGCGTTGCTCATAGCGCTGAACCGACGACAAACGCGGAATGTGTCGAGGAACGTGTGGAATTTTTTCCCCATGAACAAGGACAGGTTGTCCGATGGACGACAGTGGACTATCCCATAAACTCCGAAACTTCCAATACCACCTTGTAAACCCTTATTTCGTATTGGATTGGTTCATTTTGGGGGTTCATTATGGGGGTTATTTTATTTTAGGGGATGTGATTAATCTAATGGATGTATGGATGTATGGAAAAACACGTCATCCTTCTTCCAAGAGACAACTTGTGATACAGGTTGTGTCAGATATGCCAGAACTTTCATGCAATTGACACATTTGTATTGGCATGGCACTTTTCCATCGATAGATATCATGTGAAGAATCAACAAAAAAAATCATTAAAGATCCGTAAGCGCTCAATAATTTCATTAAAACCAGCAAGATAAAACAATGCCATCGTAAAAGGTGCCAAAATGACAATAAGTTGAATACACAGCAACGAAGAATCCATTGAACAAAAACACATTGAAACACAACAATAAAGAGCTTAAAATCCCATAAAACATCCATCCAAATAAATTTAATAAACAACTTTCTGACAAAATCCAGAAGAAAAAACCATTGAAACATCAGCAAGAACCTGGAGGTTCCTAAAGCAAGTCAATTCAAATCCACAAAAACGATATAAGTTGAACAATCCACTAGAAAATCCAATAAGACAACACCAACATAATCTATATAAGATCATAAAAGTCCATCTACAATTCATTTGAAATCAATTCATAAATCATTTAAACAAATTGATACAAAAAACATCCATGAAAGATTCCCGCAACAAATCCATGAAGAAATCCATTGAAACAAATCCATTTAGAAATTCGTCCCGTTGGAGGAGAAGCAATGGCCTGGTCTCGGTGAGGATGCCACTGGATCCAGTTGGAGATCACATATGAACCTGCGACGCCATGCCAAGCTGATGATGGGCAGAAAGATCAGGCCACCGACGATGTCATCCATGGCTCAAATGCCATGTTTGGTTGGATTGTTTTTAACCGGAGCTCACGGTGGTCACGGTGATTTGAATAGGGACAAAATGTGATATGAAGATGATGATGATGAGTCGTCGTTGTTCTTCTTCTTCTTCTTACTTTTTTTTTGCCTTTGGTGTTTGGTGTTTCCTGTTTGTTGTAACTCATTGATTGCTCCTTTTGATTTGGCACATCAACTCCGGGCTGCACCAGACTGAGCCTCAGTCATTGATGGAGGATTGCAGGAACACACAGACTTATTCAAACTGGGCTGACAGGTACATGAAGCAGCAAAAGGTTTTGCGCGACCATGACGTTTGGTGGGCAACCTACGATAAGTTCAAGGTTTGGAATCCAAATCCCAAGGCTCGCCAGATGTACATGGCCGGGTGCCCAGATGCCCTTGGTATGACATCTTCATCCGCCCTATCCGCCCTATTTGGAACGGCTAGTCACTTGCTGAGGGACCGGAGTCGCACCCAGACAATCCAGATTTCCCTCGACCAAACAGCGGGCTGCCGGCTCTGGGTGGTTTGGGAACCCAGCTGATCCGATCTATCGGTGAGAGACCTATCGAGTGAACTTCGCAAAGTGATGTTGCTATAGGAAAAAAATATAAAGCCACGCTTCTTTTTGGAGGCATTGCAACCGGAACTGATCCATAGGTTGACCATTTTTGTCTCTGCTGGGGAATCACATTCATTTCGTTGCCCAGTCCGTGTGAACCTTCCAGAATGAAACTTGCTTCAGCTGCCGGAAATGGCTTTCTCAGAGTTGAAAGAATTTCTTTCGCCAACCATCTTCTATGGATGATTGCCACTGGCTTCTGCGGATAGATGCAAACCACTGGCCATCTCGTGGTTGGTTGCAAACCTCTGGGAACTGCAATCCTAATTTGGGAATCTGTGACCATCGGCCACAGATAATTCTTTTGTACTGCTACTACAATTCCCCTACAATCAAATTCTTCTTGGTGATATTAGTCAATTCTTGGAGTGTAAATTTCTATGATCGTTCTTATATGCAATTTTTGTTGGTCTGTGAACTAGTCAAATAGTCAATAGAGGTTGTGAGCCCAGTTTTGCGTCAGAATTGGTGCCCACAAATCCAGCGTAAACCATTGTTAAAACAATGTAAAACAGCTCAAGGATAACATGGTAAAACATGGCGAACCAATCCACAAGTCTAGGGTTTTGCCCAGCTCCAGGTTACCCAGCTCCAGGGCCATGTTTTTTCAGCTCTCCGCCCTCTCAGGTTGGTCACCTGCGCCCATGGCGGCCTCCACGGGTCGCTTGGGTGGTTCCAGGCTGGCGGGGGCGTTCAGCTCTGCCAAGCGAGCAGCGACTCGGCTGGGGCATTTGGAACCAAGAACCAAGGAATGTAAATGATAACGCACACAAACAGCTTTGCACCTGACATCATGAGGTCTTCAGCTCCCCTAGGGTGCGCTCTGCTCTGGTTCGACACGCCCACAAGAAGGCCCACGATGTGGAAGCAGCCATGGTTAGAATGGATTATGCCTCAATATATATGGAGGTTTCCTAAAATAGGGGTACCCCTAAGGCCCTAAATCATCAATTTTAATAGGATTTTCCATTATAGACCATCCATTTTGGGGTACCCAGATTTTAGGAAACCCCCGTATAACTGATATAACTTGATATAACTGCTATACTCACCTTGGGCGGTGGCACTTTCCCAGAACTTTTCGCCAGGCGGCTGCCAGCACAAAGAATCAAGGCTACTCTTCCAGACCCAAGTGGTGGGGTGTGCCCTGGCAGGAAATCCATGGCTGGGAGTTGCTTTGAAAGGCAGCAGCAGCCCATTGACCAATTGACCAAGGTGAAAGCTTTGAATGGCAAGGCGGTCAAGACCCGTCAGCTGCTGGTGAAGCAGAGCTTTGGCTATTTAGAGGTCGGTCAAAGCCATTCTTGCTGTTTCTTTCTGGTTTTCCCAAGCTTGGTTCCCAAGAGCAGTGCGATTGTTGGGTTTGGTCTGGGGTCGGTGCATCGCGGATGCAAGACATTCTAAACAGGAATGACATTCCCAATCCAGAAGCCCTGCTGGGTGGCAAATTGGGTGTTTTTTGTTGGGTATGCATGGGATGCATACCTGGCATACCTTCATCATGACTTCATCTTTCATATCTTTCCTTTTTCCGTCGTGTAGTCAGAACAGTCGAGTTTTGGAGTTGCCAATGTGTCACATGTGTCACATCACATGTCCATCATGTCCATCATGTCCATCATGTCCATCGACCAAGGAAGGGCATGAACTGGTACCCAGGTAATAATGTGACGGTGACAAAGACTCTTGGCTCAAGCAATTGGCAGCTTCGGCTTTCGTGAGATCAAACGGACTTTGCTATTTGAAGGAAGATCACTCACATGGTGAGTTGGATGTGTCAACACACCTGTAATGCTTCAAAATCCATTATTATATCAATTCTTGGCGAAAGGACATTCTGCGAACTTCTACTTTCTATCTATGTTTATGCTTGAGCCACCAACACTAGCATTTGTGACGACCGGGATGATCCATTGGCTCATACAAGTAGGCGAATGATAACCATTATAGTCTCTCACAAGACATGGAACAACTTTGCAAGTATATCTTGATCGAGTGTTACTTTTCAGTCCTTTGGCTGACTTTACGCAGGAATCCCAATCCCAGAGCCATATTTCATTTTCTAGGGCCGAGACAGACTGGAGGGTCAATAGCTCATGTACAGTTGAAAGCACAGAGAAATAGACTAAAGTCGCACACAGAAAGACAAAAAACATATATTTGATTTGACAGATAGGAAAATAGATAAGACAGATGAGACAGATATGATAGATAATATTGCCAGATCAGATAGGTAAGATATATAGGATCGATAGGATGGATAGATAGATAAGATCAGACAAGATTAGATAGGATAGATAGGATATATAGGATAGATAGGATATATAGGATAGATGGATGGATACATCGATAGGATTCGATACATATCAGGTATATACTTACGTATATTAAGGTGTACATCCAGACATTCCATTGGTCCAAGGAGTGGCGCCTTGATGTCCTTGAAGGACGGCATTGTCCAGTGGCGCGGCACCTACCGGCACAAGGAGGTGCACTAAGAAAGAGATGAGCCGAAACTGATGGCCTGGTGGGTGATCTTAGGGGCTACTAGCCATTAGCCCATTACTATCATTAGGGGGATTTCGGGGCTTTATACTAGCCATTACTAGCCCAAAGGCCGGGGCGGACTGAATCATAGCCCGTTGATCTTCCCGATGTTCGATTCCTGATGCCAACAATCCTGATGACTCAAATGCCATCTGATGGATTGCAGACGATTCACCTCTTGAAAGTTGAAACTGTTTGATTTCCCAGGCAAGCAGGTTTTCTACGGGGCATTGATCACTGGTTCTACTGGTGGCCGAACCTGACAGGTGAGCGTGGTGCCCTGGGAGTACGTCCGTGCCAAATGCCGCTGGCACAATGATGGAAACTTGGCTCCTCAGGAATACTTGCCATGGATGGGTCCGAACCTCAGTTGGTTGGCACCATCCATGCAGTTTTCAACTGACAGTGCCGAGGTCGCAGAAACGAGGTCCTCAGTGGGATGTACGATGAATGGGCGGAGACCACAGAGGGAAAGGCATGGCTAGAGAAGAAGGCTGAGAAGAAGGCGAAGCAGAAGGAGATTCAAGCGAAGATCAGGCTGACCTTGAACAGGGAGAGCTTTGTGTCAGCCTTCGATTTGGGTTTCTTCGAAGATTTGTCGGGTATGTGTGAAGATTTACGACCCATGCACCAAAAGATCTAGTAATTATGCGGCCAGCAAGAATAAAAAGTACCACGTCTTGACGAAGGGCCAAAACCGTGCCATTTCCCGGTCTCAACATGTCTTGACATGGTATTGGGCGTGATCGAAAAAGGCTTTGCGATTTGAGAGTGCTGTAAGGGTCTTCGAAAACTTGTTTTCCAGAATCATTTTCTGGCCCTTTTGAAGATCTTCAATCAGTGTAGTAGTTTACCTGGGATGGGGGATTTGATCCTTTGTTGAAGATATTCATTCGTTGTAAGAGTTTAACGTGGGGTAGGGGATTTGATCTCTTATTGAAGATCTTCAATCAGTGTAATAGTTTAACAGGGTTGGGGCATTGGATCCCTCCTTGAAGATCTTGAATCAGTGTAATTGTTGAACATGTGGATTAAGTTGGGACCACGTGTAAGTTGGGACAGTTCAGAGTTTGGGTGAACCTGAGCCTGGTTTTTTGGCCCGGCTGCGACACGAACAATGTCCACTGAGTCAACTCGTCTCCCTTTACCAGGGCCAAGAAGCAGTGGCGCTTCAAGGAGCAAAAGACCAAGGACAAGGTGCATACGGGGCTTCAAGGATGTTAGGAAGATAATCTAGAAATGATTTTTAAACAGGTCATGTTCATGTTCCGTACTTCCCCATTTTGAATTCCAGTTGACTGAACCCCAACTTTGGACACGCCAAAGCAGCGCACCACCCTGAGAACAAAAATCCTTCGGTGATTTGTTGGTCGATGTATTATAAATCGCCTTGCTATAAAGACCAAGCAAAGCTTGTGTCGGCGTAGACTAAAAAAGAAACCACATGGGTTGACATTAAATGATTTGTTTCATAACCTTGATCAGGTTTGATTTTAGACCTGATGGCTTGCTCCAGCCGTGCAGGTGACAGCTGGTGATTCTGACTCAGAGACTGAGAAGTGAGGGGGATGCGCCAAGTTCCTTTTCGCAGCCGCAGATTGATGAATCAACGTCAGAGACATTTCCACCAGAAACCTTTCATGAACAACGCAATTATATACATATACAGTATATATATATATAATATATATATTATATCCAGTTAGAGGATTTGCATTTGATACAATAAACATATTTGTTTCTTCCACCCTTTAGAACATGTTTTGCAGTATTGAAAGGACATTTATTCAGGAATGACTTGTAGAAGTGAAGAGATTTTCAGCTGCGAAAGACAGAGCTGCGAAAGATATGCGCAAGTCATTGCCCTGTGCCGCTTGCAGTGAGTGCCTGACCAAGCCATGACCAAGTCATCTCTCCTGGGCCGCTCAACCGCTGCCGCGCTGTTTTCTGGGCTCGGAGAATCCCGCTCACGGCAGATCCTCATGAATTGCTAGGTTCAACCATCCACCTTCAATGTCTTCTCTAAAAAACATACATATAATTATATATGTATATATATATATACATACACACATATATATATATATGTAATAATAATAAACACACATGTTTTGAACATGGAATATTTCCATCATATCCCCATAATTGATTGAATCTCCATTTTTGTTGGTTGATTTGGATGCCCAAACGCCCTCAAGAGCCGTCACTATCCTTTGTGTCGCCATGGACAGTGAGAAGTTGCCGGAACGACTCCAGGAGGGTAACATTTTTTTCACAGTGATGGGTCAATGGGTGAACGAATCTGGAAAATCCCTTGAAAGATACACAGTCTATAATCATATGATATCATATGTTTTCATGGAATGATATTTGTTTCAAAGAAGACAGTATAATAAGTTCGTTTCACAAGTTCGTTTCCTGGATAGTCCCGCATCATATGGTCGTGCAACGTTGCCTTTCGGTTTTAATCCTGTGACCAGGAAGTGAGTCCCGAGCGCTTGTCATCACATCCCTTGAAGAAGGGTGTCTTGGCTGGAAACAATTATATAGGAGCTGTGGAGTGATTTTCGGGATTTGTTGAAAGTTGTGAGCCGACCATGAAGAAAACAGCCATGATCCATCCACGGTTTTCCCATTCTACTTGGGAGCCAATCATCACCCACTTTTTTTGATCCACGACTCTCCAGGGAATCCTCGTGATCACTGGCGACTGGAACATGTGGAGCAAAAGGTTCTCGAGTCGGGACTTGTGGCCCTCCAGTGCCGCAGCACAAAGCAGGGAGTTGGAGAGGGATCAATGACGAAGCTATTCGAGCTGTGAGGGGTTACATAGTTTGCAGTTTTGCAGCCACCGATGCTTGGGGTGAACTAAACCATTTGCATCCATTTGCTATTTTTAGGGAAGGAATGGACTGTGAAAAGTATGGAACTTCGTTGCCAAGACCGTGCGATTTGTAACAAGTAGCGGATGGTCGTGCGGGTGGAACCAACACTCTCACTGAGCTTCATGTCATGGCAGATACAAGGAGCCAGCTCACTGCCTCTCCATCAAAGAGCCCCGCGGCAAGACAGGGTTCTGCCGTGTTGCGGGCATCCTTCTTCGAACGCTTGTTGGAGGGTCACGTTGAGCTGTGTCTCGGCTTCCAGGGGATGATCGATCCAGAAAAGGGCAGTTCCTGGGGTGAACTGTGGATAATCCACGATAATGGACGAACCGCTACAGCCGCTGTACCAATGTTCTGCAATTTCAACGGTGCGATGACGATCTTCTGAAACAGCGCTTTGACGATGCCCAGATATTGCAACATCCACTGGGTTCACCTGGCTCAGCAAGGCAGCTAGCTGTGCCCATTCTGGGGCCAAAAAAAAGTGTAGCATCCCCTTTCTTCACATTTCATCGCCATGGCACTGAGGAAGGCTTGCCCTGCGAATGATGTCGCAGCTGCCCAAGGTGCGCTGTTGGGACCCGGATGTGGAGAGTTTCCGATCCCGATCCTGGCGATCCCGGCAGGTGACTTGAAGAAACTCAACCTGAGCCAGCTCTTAGCGCTGCGGATTCTGACCAAGGATTTCCCAACCACCAGTGTTGGTTCTTGGATGCGGTTTGAGTTGTCATGGGAGCTAAAGTGAAGGGTGGGTAAATTGAGTTCGCCACCAGCTTGTGAAACCTGGTGGATCATGGTGGCAGAATTGTACATGTAACCTGCCAGGCATATTTGAACAAAAAACACATGCTGTGCCCTTTTCTCGTGTGTCTGAATAGCTGTCACAGAGTGGCCAGTATCTCTATATGAAAACAGGCCAAGCGTGAAGGGATTTGACAGATTAGCTTTCGCTCCCATTGACCACAGTTGTTTCCCCGTGAGAAACAGGACCCTTTCAAAATGGCCGAGAAATCTATTTTTTAATACTAGTTTGGGGCCCATGTTGATCTCGACCAGCCTGAGGTTCTCTGAAGGTTCATGGACACTTTCTGGCAGCTTTGTCATCTGAATTGTCCGCAGCTAAGTGCTTTGGGTTGTGCAGCTGACATGGCATAGTGGAGTATAGTGGACACATGTTGTTTGTTTCTGTTACTCTTGGACTTTTCAATGTCCTGATTGATGGCCTGTTTGAATCTTTGAAACCCAGTATTTCAGTAGCATCCAGCCCATCATTTCTCCGCCGAGACTTTTCCTCCTTGAGGCATCCCGCAAGCATCGCAAGCGTGACATCCGAGGTTTCAAAAGGTGGGCGCTCGGGCACTGGGTGAAGAGATCGCCACAAGAAAGCGCTTGGAGCAGATCGGTGCCCGCCTGGTCTTGTGCTGGGGACCCTAGAAACGTGTCTCCCATTTTTTGGGACGCCCAGCTATCAACATCAACAAAAAGTCGGATTGAGGTGGTGATACCTCCGAAATTCTGCCATTTCTTCCATGTCTTCCCGCGCCCAGGTCTCGGAGCTGCAGAGCTATTGGCAGGGGCCAATCCTGCGCCTCCATGTCGCTGGTTGACAGCCCTCGAGGAGGAGGGGATCGGCGGGAAGGATTCACCAGGGATGATGGGATTCTAAACGGTCAATGGACAAGGGTACCCAAATAACATCAAATAACTATATTCGAAATTATTAAAGCTTGGGATGGTGTTCTCATCGAAGGAAGTTTAGAAGTCAAGCTTTCGACAATATGGACAGATGAAAAGCAGAGATGAGAAGAGTCAGAGAAGAGGAGAGAAGAGGAGAGAAGAAGAAAGAAGATCAAAAAGAGAAAGTCTCAGAAGAAAGAATATCCAGGTGCGCGAAAAGGTAGGAAAGTCGCGAGACACTGTGTTTTTCCAATGATTTGTGGCTCCGGAGGGTCGAACAGTAGGCTCACTAAAGCGGCGGGTGCGGAGCCAGCTGGCCAGATGAGAGATGAAAAATTGCACGCCGTTGTGGCGCGAAGCACATGTCCAAGTCAAAATGCACAAAGCACTTCAGCTTCGGAGCACTTTTAGAAGTTGCGATGTCGAAAAAGTGCACGCCGTTGTGGCGCGAAGCACATTTGCAAGTGAAAAAGCTAAAAGCACCTCACGTTCGGAGCACTTTTGGAAGTTGAGATGTCGAAAAAGTGCACGCTGTTGTAGCGCGAAGCACATTTCGAAGCCAAAATGTACAAAGCACTTCAGCTCCGGAGCACTTTTGGAAGTTGAGATGTCGAAAAAGTGCACGCCGCTGTAGAGCGAAGCACATTTCGAAGTCAAAATGTTAAAAGCACCACATGCTCGGACCACTTGACGTTCAGATGTCGTTTCGCGTGGCAGACGCAAGGGATTGTTCACCTTGTCAAAAGTTAGCAAAACGTAAGGGTTTTCTAGCATTTCCAAAAACGATGGCAGACGTGGGATATTTGACGAAGATCTGCAAAGATGCATTTTCCGTGACAGGCGCAATATAAAAGACATGTTCATCAGAGATGTTAGGAGGTCAGGGCGCTGATTTCCTGAGAGGGATGATATTTTGGAGCATCAGATCTTCAGGTTTGCTGAGATGATTTTGCGTGACAGGTGCAGCACTTCGTATGACCTGGCAGACCTGGCATCACTTCTTCGTGGCAGGCGAAGTACTTTAGACACGTGGAGTGGAAAAATCGCAAAACTCATTGGTACGAGGCCGTCAGCTCTGCACTCAACTTTCCATTTTTGAAGGACGTCTCGCAGAGTTGCTTCGTTTTTGATGTTGTCAACTTCAAAAAATATGGATTTCTCGCAGAATTGCTTCGTTTTTGCACTTGTCAACTTCGAAAATTTAGGAAGTCTCGCAGACTTGTTTCGTTTTTGACGTTGTCAAGTTCAAGAGCTGAGGAAGTCTCGCAGAATAGCTTGGTTTTCAAGCTTGCAGATTGCAGCTAGATAGATAGATAGATAGGTAGATAGATAGACAGACAGACAGATAGATAATTAGATTTTTATTAGATAGAAAGAAAGAAAGAAAGAAAGAAAGAAAGAAAGAAAGAAAGAAAGAAAGATCGATAGATGGCTAGATGGATAGATAGATAGATAGATAGATAGATAGATGGCTAGATAGGTAGATAGGTAGATAGATAGATAGATAGAGATAGGTAGATAGGTAGATAGATAGATAGGTAGATAGGTAGATAGGTAGATAGGTAGATAGGTAGATAGGAAGATAGCTAGATAGGTAGATAGATAGATAGATAGATCGACGACAACAACAACAACAACAACTACTACTACTACTACCACAGCTACAACTACAATTACAACTCCACCACATTACACTACACTGCGCTAATTACACCGCAGCACGCTACAACTACAAATACAAATGCGACTACAACTACATTACATAACACAACACTACACTACACTAATTACATTACATTACGCTACAGCTACAACTACAACTGCAACTACCATTGCGCTACCACTAGATTGCACTACACGACGCTACACTCATTGCACTACACTACACTACAACTACAACTACACTACCTTACGCTACACTACACTACACTACACTACACTACACTTTGCCAAACTACAGTACACAACACTACAGCACACTACAATACACTACACTAATTACACCACAACACTACAACTACAGCTACAACTGCAACTGCAACTGCAACTACACTACACTAATTGCACAACATTACAACTACAACTCCACTACACTACACTACACTACGCTACACTACACTACGACTACGGCTAGAATTACAACTGCACTACGCCACACTACATCCAGCAGTTGCTGTGAGGTGACCACTGCAATCATTGCAACCACCCAAAAACACAACTCCAACCACCTTTCGGTCCATCAGTGGATTCGCTCTGCCATCCGTGATTCACAACAACCAACGTCTCCTATAGATTTCCTACCTTTGAAACTTCCGCCACCGCCTTGTACGGCACTACTGGAAAAGGCCTAGATGTGTCGGGTTTTGAAAAAGAAGGCTCAGGTCTATGTGCTCTTCTTGGATCTTCCCACATGACATCCTTGGAATCTGGTTCCAAGCGGCTGGGCCCTTGCAGGAAGACTCAAGTTCCAGTGCCTGCCTTGGGGATCTGGTGCTGATGCTGAAACTGTCCTTGTTGAGCTGGTGAAGCTGGTCAGTCAACCTGAGGTTTTGTGCTGGTGGATGTGTGCGCACACAGTGCACAGATCATGGAAGGCCCCCCGTCTGGCAAGAGTCCAAAAACGTCAAACACAGCAGTGGACCAAACTCAAGCGAATGGAGAAGTTGGTCACAGTTCCTGACGATGAGCCGATTAAACTGGTTTCTCTGTCTATGGTATACCAAGTTTCCGTGTCAACTGGAGGCGTTTCCGGAGACTTTGACCAATATCGAGGTATCAACATTGCACTGGTGGGAGTCCACAGTTCATTCACCTGGCCCTGATTCTGGGGTGCCTAATTTGGATGCAATCAAAGCTGGAGACCTACATTTGCATGTCTATCGAGATGTTTGAAACTCCAGCCACGATTATTTCGATCACAATTTCCCAAGCACAGATTTTAGTGCCATCTCAGCTGCCAACGACACTGGAGTTTTTCCGGACCTTGCAAGAGATGCCTCGCTATTCCCAACAGCTGTGCCCTATAACTGGTGCATCACGGATCTGTTGTTGAGTTACAAAGCTGGGTTTAACTTTGGATTGATGTTGATTAAACATGATTTAACCAATTTTACCCTTGAATCTGCCGATTGAATCCCAATGGTTCAGCTGAATCAGTTGCCCCGAGGTCATTGATTTGGGCTCCAGCTCTTCTTTGAATTGGGAAGTGATCACCATGGATGCGGCCAAGGCCGCTGGACCAGCCACCTAGTCATGGTTTCGAATTCAGCCGATTTCTGGCGGAAGATTTCAAGTTGCTGAACTTTGAGCAGAGTTGGCCCAAAATTTTGCTCCTTGTGATGCAACCTGACCCTTCCAGGATGACATTCCAGCCGCAATGACTGTGCTTCGCGCCCGCCGCCGGCGCAAAGGGACGCGGAGGACCACCGTCGAAGAAACGCCTGAAGGTGCTGGGGATCCAGGGGAGTGTAAGGTGGAAGTGGTAGGAATTGGTTGGTGACATATAGTAGTTCATCGGGAAGCAGCAACTATTTCTTGGGTATAGGGAAGTATAGGGATATGTGATTTTGTAGTTGCATTTGGGGCTTCTGTGGTATGTTCGGCCGTGCCCAGACTCCGCTCGACATTTTCCATCGCTACCTTTCGCTACCGAAGAACTTGTGCCAAAGAGCAAGCGAGAGGACTCGACCAAAGTGCAAGCTTACAAGAAGGGGGATACCTCAATAATCTGCAGGCCTCACATCTTCCAAATCTATTGCTTTTCAGCAGCGAAACCAATGACATTGGCCACAAATCTTGCCACCAAAACTGCTTTATCCCTGCGAATTGGTCTTTCAAGGGCAAGCTGCCAAGGCTCCAGCTCCGACATCACCAGCTTGACAAATTAGATATGGTGGGTGGGAAAACCCACAAAAAGAACATGGAAAGTACACATGATGGTTGTGCTTTGTCTAATTGTTTGTTTGTTAGCATCCCCAGTTTTGGTCGCAAGATCCCATTTTTCCTGGTGCCAGGACAGAGATGCTGAAGCTTCCAGTACCAAAGGAATGGAATGGCCAGCTACCAGCCCTCCCAGGACAGATGGTGTCGGTGTCGTTGTGGTGGTGGTGGCGGTGTCGTTGTGGTGGTTCTGGTGGTTGTGGTTGTGGTTGTGGTGGTGGTGGTGGTGGTGATGGCTGTTGTTGTTGTTGTTGTCGTTGTTGTCGTTGTTGTTGTTGTTGTTGTTGTTGTGGTGGTCGTCGTCGTCGTCGTCGTCGCTGTTGCTGGTGGTGGTGGTGGTGTTGTTGGTGTTGGTGCTGCTGCTGCTGCCGCTGCCGCCGCCAGTGGATATTGGTGTGCAGAGGTGTTTGATCAGAAAATTGCATATGTTTATTGTCCTCAGAAGCTTTCCTTGTTCCTGGAAGCCTCTGTGTTTTTGAAAGTTCCTGGGAGATCCTGGGAGTATATTACAGTGGCATGTTTTGGGATGAAAAGTCCGTGGCTGGGCCAGGAACTCGCGAGAAAGGGAGAGCGGCTACAAAGAGCACCTTGGGGCAGTGTACTGACATGGGGCCAACGTGCAATTGGAAGATGCAACCAAAAAGACGGGGTGCCAGTACCAACATTTTCGATGCTGTGACCACCAAATCGATAGATGATCAACGGAGTATAGTCATAGTGTCATCTTGAGTTTTCTTTTGAAATTCTGGCCATGTTGTACTGTCAGTTCTGTAGAGCTTATTGCTGCCCATTTGTGCCTTTCCCTGCTCAGTTATCCCTTCATCACTGACATCTTTGACTACTTTGGCTGCTGCACGCGGCGAAGGGATGAATCGCATGCTTGAAGCCATCCGAAGGCCCAGTCGGATTGCTTGGAGGGCATGGATCTTCTGCAGACTAAATTGCACGTAAGAATGAATGGTTTAGTGCTGAACGTGACCAATTTTCTGGGTTCATAGGTAGCCCTCCGTTTTTGGGCCAAGACGGCCAAGACTCAGTTGAGTGATCCTTCCGCGTTGATGATCATTTGAAGGACCATTCTTCCCTGCAGTCGCACATGGTCAGCCGTGTTCCAGTGAAGTGCCAGAGGTGCTCAGTTTGTTTCACAGGTTTATGACGACTGACGTCACACAAGGCAAATTCAGCCCAGTACAGTGTCCAGCATTGTGCGGTGCTTAGCATTGCTTTTACATGCTTTTATACGTAGGCGGGAGTGTATGCCCGTTGTAAAGGAACTCTTACCGTTTCGGAGATCGAGGAAAAAGGTGAACACTGAGATGTAGAGTGTTTCCAAGACGAACTCTGGTACCAAAACAGCCGACTAAATCGACTAAGTCAAGGTTGGAGACTCTTCCACTTTTCCCGCCCAGTCTTTGCCTCTGATAGTCAGCAGAACTTGATTGACAAAAACGAACAGCATTTTCTACACCTGACATTTCAGAATTGCTGCTCAAGAGTTCCAGCTTAAACAGTGAGTGCACTAAATCGTTTCTAGTTCCTGACCATGGTGAGCCCAGCGATGCTGAAGGGTATGAACACGGAGGTGTATGGGGAGGGCCACCCCTTCGGGGACCCGTCCTGGTATCAGGCCTACAACACGCCCTACTACAATGACACCCACAAGCAGTTCCGAAAGCTGATGCGTGAGTACGTGGATGAGCACATCATGAGCAATGTGCATGACTGGGATGAGAAGGGCACTATCCCAAAGGAGATGTACCTGGAGGCTGGAAAGCAGGGTACTCTTGCATTGTGCATTGGCAGGCCGTGGCCTGAGAAGTACTTTGGTCCATCTCCTTGGGGATTTGAGCCAGACTACTTCCATGAGCTCATCATGTACGACGAGATGTCTCGTACTGGCTCTGTGGGCTTTCAGTGGGGCGTTGCTGGAGGCACCACCATCGGACTGCCTCCTGTGTACCACCATGGAAGCGAGGAGCTGAAGCAGCGTGTCATGCCACCATGTGTCAAGGGAGAGAAGGTTTGCTGCCTGGCAATCACAGAGCCCACAGCAGGCAGTGATGTGGCAAACTTGAAGTGCACCGCCAAGCTGGAGGGTGACCACTACATCCTGAACGGAGAGAAGAAGTGGATCACCAACGGCATTTTTGCAGACTACTTCACTGTGGCATGCCGCACTGGCAAGCCAGGAGTGGGTGGTATCAGCTTGCTGCTGGTTGAGAAGGGCATGCCTGGCCTTGAGACCAGAAAGATGAAGTGCTCTGGTGCCTGGTCATCTGGCACAACATACATCACCTTTGATGATGTCAAGGTTCCAAAGGGCAACTTGCTTGGCAAAGAGGGCAAAGGCTTCCAGTACATGATGCAGAATTTCAACCATGAGCGATTTGCCTTCTGTGCCATGAGCACTCGCTTTGCCCGAGTTTGCCTGGAGGACTCCCTGAAGTTTGCTGGCAAGCGCAAGACCTTTGGCAAGACTCTGATCCAGCACCCAGTGATTCGCTGGAAGGTTGCAGAAATGGCCCGCCAGATTGAGGCAACTCACAACTGGTTGGAGTGGATCACCTACCAGCTGAAGACCATGCCCAAGATAGAGGCCATGCTGAAGCTGGGAGGCCACACAGCTCTTTGCAAGGTGCAGTGCACCAAAGTCATGGAATACTGTGCCCGCGAAGCAGCTCAGATCTTCGGTGGATTGTCCTATTCCCGCGGTGGTCAGGGTGAGAAGGTGGAGCGTCTGAACCGTGAGGTTCGCGCCATGGCCATCCCAGGAGGCTCTGAGGAGATCATGTTGGACTTGGGAGTGAAGCAGTCCACCAAGCTTGCAGAGATGGCCAAGATGTTCGCTGAGGCTGCACCTCAGGCTCAGGCAGCCAAGCTTTGAGCACGCCCTGTGCAGATCAAGGCTTGAAGATCTGGAGACCTGAATAAGATAATCCATCAGCTTCGTAGACTTCTTGGTTTCTTGATAGCACAGGGATGAGACATGCCCAAATCACTCTACCAACGCAGAATTTGCTGTTGAAGATTTGCACATGCACTACCATCTGATCCCCTTTGGCCACTCTGCATGCTGATTTCTTGATTGCATCATGTACCTGGAAGTGCTTGGTCAAGTGCCGAGTTGGGTCAAAGGATGAGACATTGCCCAAATCACTCTACCAACGCAGAATTTGCTGTTGAAGATTTGCACATGCACTACCATCTGATGCCTTTTGGCCACTCTGCATGCTGATTTCTTGATTGCATCATGTACCTGGAAGTGCTTGGTCAAGTGCCGAGTTGGGTCAAAGGATGAGACATTGCCCAAATCACTCTACCAACGCAGAATTTGCTGTTGAAGATTTGCACATGCACTACCATCTGATGCCCTTTGGCCACTCTGCATGCTGATTTCTTGATTGCATCATGTACCTGGAAGTGCTTGGTCAAGTGCCGAGTTGGGTCAAAGGATGAGACATTGCCCAAATCACTCTACCAACGCAGAATTTGCTGTTGAAGATTTGCACATGCACTACCATCTGATGCCTTTTGGCCACTCTGCATGCTGATTTCTTGATTGCATCATGTACCTGGAAGTGCTTGGTCAAGTGCCGAGTTGGGTCAAAGGATGAGACATTGCCCAAATCACTCTACCAACGCAGAATTTGCTGTTGAAGATTTGCACATGCACTACCATCTGATGCCCTTTGGCCACTCTGCATGCTGATTTCTTGATTGCATCATGTACCTGGAAGTGCTTGGTCAAGTGCCGAGTTGGGTCAAAGGATGAGACGTTGCCCAAATCACTCTACCAACGCAGAATTTGCTGTTGAAGATTTGCACATGCACTACCATCTCATGCCTTTTGGCCACTCTGCATGCTGATTTCTTGATTGCACCATGTACCTGGAAGTGCTTGGTCAAGTGCCGAGTTGGGTCAAAGGATGAGACATTGCCCAAATCACTCTACCAACGCAGAATTTGCTGTTGAAGATTTGCACATGCACCACCAGTCTATTTATGCTGCGGATGTGAAGTTTTGTTGTGGTATACATGTTGCAGCTATTTTGTTTTCCAATTTGGAACTGCGCTGATTGAGACCAATGACTCACGCTCTTGGCGCTGAAGTGAGCTTGACCAGAGGCCGAAGTGTGATTCGCAGCTCTTTGAAAGGACCTGACACCCGACACTTCAAACCTACACACCTCCAATTTGTTTTCCAAACGAACATGATTGTGGCAATCATGATATCCGCCCACTTTGGCCAAAACGCTCAAATTCTATGTCGTTTAAATTTGAACAGTTCGAATCTTAAAATGTGAGCTTACAGAGTCAGAGTCAACTTTTGAGTTTGACATTCTAACCACCATCAAACATCCAATGAGATTGGCTTCTCGAAGAAAGGAGGCAGGACGACTGGGTTACCTGAGCACAGGGACGGATTCAAATCAGCCTAATCTTTGAAATCGCATAGTACCATTGCCCAGAATCTTCATGATTACTGGTGATTAAATGGTGATTAAATGGTGATTAAATGGTGATTAAATGGTGATTTAATGGTGATTTAATGATATTTAATGGAATTTAACACCATTGAAATGGTCATCATCGTCATCACGATGACCTGGGGACGGAACCCAATTCCCGCAGTTTCTGCGTTGCAAGGCTCAGCAAGGCTGGAAGCTCAATCCTCAGCAAGGTATGAAAAACATGTTGCAATTTGACTCCCTGCAAGGAAGGTTAGGAATCTCAATTATGTACGGAATGTAACCCGAAATAAATGTAATAAACAATCCCTAATCTCACCACAAATGGTAAAAGTTGGCGAGCTTCTTTTGCTCGAACTTGACAAACTTGAAGAATCATAACTGGTGTTGAGAATGTCATGTGACATGTGAAAGAATGTTTGACAGCAAAGTGCTCAAGAGTTCCAGCTTCAACAGTGAGTGCACTAAATCGTTTCTAGTTTCTGACCATGGTGAGCCCAGCGATGCTGAAGGGTATGAACACGGAGGTGTATGGGGAGGGCCACCCCTTCGGGGACCCATCCTGGTATCAGGCCTACAACACGCCCTACTACAATGACACCCACAAGCAGTTCCGAAAGCTGATGCGTGAGTACGTGGATGAGCACATCATGAGCAATGTGCATGACTGGGATGAGAAGGGCACTATCCCAAAGGAGATGTACCTGGAGGCTGGAAAGCAGGGTACTCTTGCATTGTGCATTGGCAGGCCGTGGCCTGAGAAGTACTTTGGTCCATCTCCTTGGGGATTTGAGCCAGACTACTTCCATGAGCTCATCATGTACGACGAGATGTCTCGTACTGGCTCTGTGGGCTTTCAGTGGGGCGTTGCTGGAGGCACCACCATCGGACTGCCTCCTGTGTACCACCATGGAAGCGAGGAGCTGAAGCAGCGTGTCATGCCACCATGTGTCAAGGGAGAGAAGGTTTGCTGCCTGGCAATCACAGAGCCCACAGCAGGCAGTGATGTGGCAAACTTGAAGTGCACCGCCAAGCTGGAGGGTGACCACTACATCCTGAACGGAGAGAAGAAGTGGATCACCAACGGCATTTTTGCAGACTACTTCACTGTGGCATGCCGCACTGGCAAGCCAGGAGTGGGTGGTATCAGCTTGCTGCTGGTTGAGAAGGGCATGCCTGGCCTTGAGACCAGAAAGATGAAGTGCTCTGGTGCCTGGTCATCTGGCACAACATACATCACCTTTGATGATGTCAAGGTTCCAAAGGGCAACTTGCTTGGCAAAGAGGGCAAAGGCTTCCAGTACATGATGCAGAATTTCAACCATGAGCGATTTGCCTTCTGTGCCATGAGCACTCGCTTTGCCCGAGTTTGCCTGGAGGACTCCCTGAAGTTTGCTGGCAAGCGCAAGACCTTTGGCAAGACTCTGATCCAGCACCCAGTGATTCGCTGGAAGGTTGCAGAAATGGCCCGCCAGATTGAGGCAACTCACAACTGGTTGGAGTGGATCACCTACCAGCTGAAGACCATGCCCAAGATAGAGGCCATGCTGAAGCTGGGAGGCCACACAGCTCTTTGCAAGGTGCAGTGCACCAAAGTCATGGAATACTGTGCCCGCGAAGCAGCTCAGATCTTCGGTGGATTGTCCTATTCCCGCGGTGGTCAGGGTGAGAAGGTGGAGCGTCTGAACCGTGAGGTTCGCGCCATGGCCATCCCAGGAGGCTCTGAGGAGATCATGTTGGACTTGGGAGTGAAGCAGTCCACCAAGCTTGCAGAGATGGCCAAGATGTTCGCTGAGGCTGCACCTCAGGCTCAAGCAGCCAAGCTTTGAGCACGCCCTGTGCAGATCAAGGCTAGAAGATCTGGAGACCTGAGTAAGATAATCCATCAGCTTCGTAGACTTCTTATGTTTCAGTTGCAGCGAAGCAACTCGATCGTCAACGCTTCAGAGGGAACCTCTAAGAACGGGGAGCCTCTGGAAGATGTTTCGAGCTTCTTTTCATTGAAAAAGCGAGCAAGAGAGGCCCATGTGAAGCTGCCTCTAAGGGGTCTGTTTTGTCTGCCCACTTGCCACTGCAGATTGGCCGAGGCTTGGCAAGTTACAGATGGATCATGAGGGCCGGGATCCACCTGTTCCAGTGGAGATGGAACAATCTTGTGGGTGATTTGAAGCATTTGCTTTCTATTCCCGTCTCCCAAGAATGATAGCACTGTATTCGATACTCATTTTTTGGGGGGGTCAAGCATGGATGCAGTGCCAGGCCCAAGGCTAAAGCAACGTATCAGCCGTTCAGGTTTACGAAGTTTACGAGTATGCCACTGGATCTGCCATCTCTGGGTCCTCGGAGAAATCCTCTTGAAAAGATCAGCTCTTTGTGAAGCTCACGTGGCGACCAGGTGCTGTGCACGATGGAAGCAAAAAACAGAGACGGGGGATAGTTGTGACGGTGAACGAAAATACTGCGACTAAGGCGTATTAGCGGCCTCTTTCTCAACAGCTTGCCATTCCCAAAAAATTCTCAAAACCCTTTCGTGTCTCATTATCAACAGCATGCAAACACACACTGCAAGGTGCGGGAAAGGCGTGTTTCCTTCAGCTGTTTCCCTTGTTTCTTGGTCTTGCAGGCTCCATCCGTCGCCATGCTCCGGGTCATCAGCTTTGATAGACATCGGCAATGGCTTGAAACAAACCAGTTGGACATGGACTGCAGCAGGTTTTAATGCCACAACAACTGACAACCATGCATTGCCAGCTTCAAAGAACTAGCTGGGAGAGTAAATAGATCGTTGTTATAACACATATAGCCTAGAACTGAGGTAGCTAATCGAATTGGGGTCAACTAACCCGAATTAGCCTTGCGACAAAACTTGACGAATGGCCTAGGGTCCTCCCGCGTTGGGACCGAACTTGAGGGGAAGCAACTTGACGTGAGGTCGACGTGAGGTCTTCAAAACCATTTCCGACCAATGGTGTTGAACATATATCCAACAGCAACAGTTTCAAGAAAGCCAACAACCTTTACTTGGAGGATCTTGGAGGATCATCCAAATTAGTAATTGATAACTGGGGTTATAAGTTCTAAGCCAGTTATATATGGGATAACCTCACTTAGGCAACTTTTAGGGTCCAAAGTGTGGTCGTATCGTCAGCAGCTCCGGCCATGCGATCTCTTCCGAAGTCATGGAGGCAAGGGCTAAATTTGGCGAAATGTCAGGAAATATCGCCACAAAATATGGCCTGAAAAGTTGTACCTCCATTTCAGGGTTCTATAATTTACTGTTAACTGGAGGATATTTAAAATCCATTGTGTCTTTCCCTCCAAATAGATAGAAATGCACAGAACATGAATAGAAAATGGCTAGAATCCAGAACATCGACAGAGCATGGCATGGCGAGAACTCCGCCAGGCCCAGGTCTGTGGAAGTTTGGCCCTCAACCTGCAGAGCTTGAGATGATACGTTTGCAACCCTTTGCGAATGAGATTTGGGTATGTTTGGATAGCAAATTGGCATACTACAATATATATATATATTACAATATTACCCCAAAAATCTCCGTTGTTCCTTGGGTAGTATCATTGAGATTTCTGAGTGTATGAGCATATAAGCGACACAAGACAATCCAAAAGCATACTGGCTATGGATCAAAAATTGGTGTGGCTGATAGTTGCAAATTGCCACATATGCAGACCTATCTGTTTGTAGATTGCTCAAGAGTTCCAGCTTAAACAGTGAGTGCACTAAATCGTTTCTAGTTCCTGACCATGGTGAGCCCAGCGATGCTGAAGGGTATGAACACGGAGGTGTATGGGGAGGGCCACCCCTTCGGGGACCCGTCCTGGTATCAGGCCTACAACACGCCCTACTACAATGACACCCACAAGCAGTTCCGAAAGCTGATGCGTGAGTACGTGGATGAGCACATCATGAGCAATGTGCATGACTGGGATGAGAAGGGCACTATCCCAAAGGAGATGTACCTAGAGGCTGGAAAGCAGGGTACTCTTGCATTGTGCATTGGCAGGCCGTGGCCTGAGAAGTACTTTGGTCCATCTCCTTGGGGATTTGAGCCGGACTACTTCCATGAGCTCATCATGTACGACGAGATGTCTCGTACTGGCTCTGTGGGCTTTCAGTGGGGCATTGCTGGAGGCACCACCATCGGACTGCCTCCTGTGTACCACCATGGAAGCGAGGAGCTGAAGCAGCGTGTCATGCCACCATGTGTCAAGGGAGAGAAGGTTTGCTGCCTGGCAATCACAGAGCCCACAGCAGGCAGTGATGTGGCAAACTTGAAGTGCACCGCCAAGCTGGAGGGTGACCACTACATCCTGAACGGAGAGAAGAAGTGGATCACCAACGGCATTTTTGCAGACTACTTCACTGTGGCATGCCGCACTGGCAAGCCAGGAGTGGGTGGTATCAGCTTGCTGCTGGTTGAGAAGGGCATGCCTGGCCTTGAGACCAGAAAGATGAAGTGCTCTGGTGCCTGGTCATCTGGCACAACATACATCACTTTTGATGATGTCAAGGTTCCAAAGGGCAACTTGCTTGGCAAGGAGGGCAAAGGCTTCCAGTACATGATGCAGAATTTCAACCATGAGCGATTTGCCTTCTGTGCCATGAGCACTCGCTTTGCCCGAGTTTGCCTGGAGGACTCCCTGAAGTTTGCTGGCAAGCGCAAGACCTTTGGCAAGACTCTGATCCAGCACCCAGTGATTCGCTGGAAGGTTGCAGAAATGGCCCGCCAGATTGAGGCAACTCACAACTGGTTGGAGTGGATCACCTACCAGCTGAAGACCATGCCCAAGATAGAGGCCATGCTGAAGCTGGGAGGCCACACAGCTCTTTGCAAGGTGCAGTGCACCAAAGTCATGGAATACTGTGCCCGCGAAGCAGCTCAGATCTTCGGTGGATTGTCCTATTCCCGCGGTGGTCAGGGTGAGAAGGTGGAGCGTCTGAACCGTGAGGTTCGCGCCATGGCCATCCCAGGAGGCTCTGAGGAGATCATGTTGGACTTGGGAGTGAAGCAGTCCACCAAGCTTGCAGAGATGGCCAAGATGTTCGCTGAGGCTGCACCTCAGGCTCAAGCAGCCAAGCTTTGAGCACGCCCTGTGCAGATCAAGGCTAGAAGATCTGGAGACCTGAGTAAGATAATCCATCAGCTTCGTAGACTTCTTATGTTTCAGTTGCAGCGAAGCAACTCGATCGTCAACGCTTCAGAGGGAACCTCTAAGAACGGGGAGCCTCTGGTTTCAAGCATTCTAAGCACAGACATCTCGAGTCAAGGGTCAAAACATTTCAGCTTGCTTGACTTCTGCAAGCGTCCATCAAATGTCTCCTGCGCACAGAGCAATCAACCGCAGGTTCTAGTCCTTGTCAACGTGTTTTCCAATTGGATTCATTTGGGTCCAACATCCACTCTGGCAATATTTTGGCGTGTGTTTTCATCTGGCTTTGTCCAAAACTTACCTCAAAAATCCCCAAAAGCAGTCGCTTATTTCCATCTTTTTTCCCGTTTATATAGAACGGTTTGTATATTTCTGGGGTAAATCCGCCATTTATTTTGACAAACCCAGATGATTCAGTTTTCATCATTTTTCATCATCTTTCAGATTCATCATTTTCATCATCATTTTCATCATCTCTGAGTTTTTTTTCAGCTTCTTGCTGCACCACATGCTTTACGGCCGCTCCAGTTTTGCCCAAACGTTTTGCCTGTCCCTTGCCTTGCAGCGCCAATTTGGCTTGGTGGGCCTCGCAGAGGCAGGGTGTGCCCCTGGAATTTGGTGCTTAATGCCCATTAGGGGATGGTTTATACCACCCATAAAAATGGTGACTTGGGGATGGTTGATGTTTATGGCCCTTGGGAAAAACCACATTAATCATTGCTAAAGAGCACGACTCATAGGTTCATTGTTGGGTTTACCACATTATTATTGGGTTTACCACATTAGTCATCAATCATCACTTTTTATACCATCATATACCGCCCATAAACTGGTGATTCATCGATCTTAATCACCAAAAACAGGTACCTAAAATGGTGATTATCGATTTGGGGATGGTTTATGCCACCCATCTTTTTCCCTCTCAAAACAGCAGGCGATGGCCTTTCCTCCAGCGCCAGCCCTTTTTCCGCCGGCATCCACAGTGCCTGGCGCAGGCGCAGCAGGTGACTGGTGCAAATTTGGAAAAACCTCGGGTGCTCCAACGAATTATAGGCAAAGGATAGTCCATGTATTCTCCTAGGTTTTGGGTGCTGGGAGCAATCCTGACCTCTGTTGAATTTTCCACTTTTTGAAAGGGGAAATCAACTTGACAGATAAATTCGATCATCAAAATACAGAAAACAAAGCGCTGCAGACGGATTGATTGATGGATTAGTATGCGATTTCCCATCGATTTACCTTTTGCGAAATGCGGAATTCCAGCCTGGAGTACCGCTGGGGTATGGATCATGAATCCTTTCCACGGGCTGTGTTCATTTGTAGAGTGATGTGACCCTTTTTTTAATTCTGGGTGAGCTGCCGCGAAAGGGACTGATTCTGCTCAGGGCCAGCTGGGGATACAAAAGAGTCACAGGACGAGTTCCAACCCACAAGCAACATGCAGTCACAACAAGCAGTACAGGTAGACTGTGCGGTTGGGTAAATACAAAGGACATACTTTTAGGTCCTCGATTCTGGTGCTTCAACCCACTAGCGGCACTAGCGGACCTAGTGCCTTTCAAAATGTAGGATACATTTGTTTTTTGATAGGCCCTGGGGCCAGGGTCATGCTGGCAGTACACAACTTTTTTTTACCCTTGACTCACTGCAGGTTTGCCAACAATGAATCCAGCCTTGATTCAGCAGCAACAGCAGCAGCGCCATGGTTGCAAGCTTTCCCTCAGCTTGTGAGGTCAACAAACCTGGCAGGAAATCAGGATTTCTGATAGGAAAGTCATCTATAAAGTGTCAAAGAAATCCGGAAAAACAATATCAATGTTGAAGTACCAGAGGCTAATATTCTATATGATCATTCTTACTATATACTTGTTACGGTGATTTCTACTATTATCATCATTATTATCATCATTGGACACATGATGTTTTTATCAATATCATCATGATAATCATGATGTTATTATCAATACTATAGACCATAGATATTATATGTATGTATATATATATATAACAAGAATCATCATGATTTGCCATTGAGGCAATACCTGCAGTACATGATGATGGTGCAAGCCCAGCAATCCGCGGCCGCTGCTAATGGGGCGACAGCGAATGGGGCGACGGATCAACAGCTGCTTCAGCAGTAACTGGGATCCCTCAGACAGGGGTAAAGTGACTGGAACGGGTGGATTTATTCATTAAAAAGGCGATGGTGAGTTTAGGATCAAAAAAAGGTACTTTCATACTTTAATCTTTTGCCATAACTGGGGATAGATATATACGAAGCAGCTACAGAAATCCTGTAGGGTATCTAAGTTTGGGCGTGTGTTGCATGGACAATCACCTGATGATGTTCCCATTTGGGTCCTTAAAGAAAATCGGAAGCTAAGAGATAGTTTCAGGATGTGCTGAGTTCGTTTGAAAGGTCAGATACTCTCTCCGCAAGAGGATTCCGTTGGTCGCCGCCATCACCATGGCATGAGGCAGCTGCTCCACTCTCTTTCGACCTCGACCGAGAAGCCCAAAGCTGCCCTGGTGGACTTGGAGAACGAGCCGGTGAAGGTCAATGGGACCTCCAAGGCACCTCCCAAGGTCCGACCATGGCAGGAAAAGAGACGATGGATTTTGGTGCTTCTTTCTTTTTGGGGTTCGAAGTTTGGGTGGAATTTTTGGGTTCCCGTTTCTTGAACGAAGCCATTTGAGTCTGAGAATGCCAGGGGAAGAAGAAGAGCAGCTCTAGCGGGTTCCTGGTCTGCAAAAAGAGCCAGGAAATGATTTTTAACTAGAATATCCATCCCTACCTATGATGATACCTTTTCATTTCCTGACTGAAGTGGCTCATGGAAAATGCGAACATTCCCTTCCATTGAGGTCCCGCAGCCGAAGCAGTAACAAAAAAAAGCGAAGTCGAAGTCGAAACAAGAGGAGCGGGAACGGCATCCAGACAATTTTGGATGTGTGGGGTTTTCCTTGCCTTTAGCAGTGTGGGTTGAGCCTGTTGGTCTTCACTGCCTGTGATCAGCCGCAGCTGGCGATCGTTTCTGAGGGATCCGATCAGTTTGTCCTTGCGGAATTGCCTGAATGGCCTGTGGCTCAAAATTATCGTCTCCAAACGCTCAAAATTATGAAGCCCACAAAATGGACGGTGAATTATTGAGCCTCAACAAGGGAGTATGAACTATCCAAATGAATGCAACAAGGTGATTTGTTGACTTTCCTAGATTGGGGAATGAATGATAAAGAATAATACGAACTAAGCCACCAAAAACGTCAGCCTGCAGGAGACGCAGTTCCAGCTCCAGCAGGCAGGTAATCTCAGAGTTTTGGGTCATCTGAAGATTGGGATTTTTGAAGAATTTTGGACTCAATCCACTGGCAAAATCATCTTCAATACATCGGAATTTGAATGGATTTTACACGTTTTTTTTTTTTCATGGATTATGGATTCTTGGGAATCGCGGAGGATTGCCGGCCCCGCTTTTCGGGGTTCCAGCCAAGCTAAGTTTCTTTGGGGGTCCTTGGTGGAAGCTTTTCTGAACCGCACCTGCCAGTAGCCGGAGCCGCAGCCGGTCGAATCGAAACAAAGGCCACTCGGAACGATCTCACGTCGCGACGTCACCGGAATGGTGGGGATTGGAATTGGGGTAACTATCCCCCAAGCGATAAATTTCTATGCCTAGCTTATCCAGGTTCATGATAAAATAAATGGAGGTGGGTCAGTCAAGACCTATGAAATACCATATGACGGGGGGATGAACATCCATTGACGATTTTGCTTGTCACAGTACCAGGTTTTGACAGCCGAACTTGTCAGGTTGATTGGTGTCGACTGTGTAGATGTAGTTTTTATCATTTTTTATCATGGGATACACAGAGAAATCTTTTCCGGGGCACACTCGGAGGCGTGAAGGGGCCCTGAACTCTATCATCCATACCCTTTGGAGGAGTCCCCCAACATAGATGGACAGTGGTAACCCCTGGAGGGACTTTACTTTTCTACCTGTGACCAACACATATCCAGCTATCAACAAAGCAGACATTATTTTGTTTGTTTGTTTGTTGGTTGGTTTGTGCCATCCGAATCCGTACTTGTCCATGTGATATCCAAGTTTTCTTGGCCATTTTCTGGTTTGCAGGTTGAATCCGCGTTTTTTTTTGGATATCCGCATTCTTGCCGCTTGATCTAGCAAATTTAAATCAAGCCCATGACCGATGCTTGAAAAAGCACGCTATTGGCGGTAATACAGTAATACACATGTTTGTTTCTTTCTCTAAATGCTTACAAAATGGCCCACACTAAAACATTGCAATCAATGGATGGTGTAAATACTAAACACTAAACATCTTTTAAATCATTTGCATTAATAGTGGGTAGATGGTTGGTTGATCAATTTACAACCCCATCTAAGATCATCTAGATATCTCCACCATACCTAGTTTACTGTTATAGGCTTCTAGGTAGATAACCCCATCTATGGTTGGTTGATGAATGCAGAACTCCATCCACCCTCAGCCGCAGGTCGCCGGAGCACTAGCCGCAGACGGCGCAGCCCCAGCCGTCGTGGCCGCAGCCCACCGGCGCGGAGCTTTGGCACCGGCTTTGCCGCTGGAGGTGGGGAAGCGATTTCGCCATTTTTCTCGAACGAGTTCATCACTGAAAAGGGACTTTAACCATTGAAAAACAGAGATTTACCATGATTGACCATCTGGTGTCAAAGATGGCGGCTGGAAAATCCCTGCTATTGTTCGCCAGCTAGCCATGTTCGATTTTTTCATGGATTGGTTAAAGGGAAAATATACAGAAAACCCCGTATTCCATCACAAAATCCATGGTTTCCGGTTAAGATTTTCCCTTCAACCAATCCGTTGAGGGGTAACGTTTGCGATTTACCCAGCCATGGATTTCAGCCCTCCTTGGAAACAACCTTTGAAAAAACACATTGGGATCTTGATTTTTTGGATCATTGGAGACTTTCTCGAAAAATTATCCAGCCCAAAGGATGGGGTGTCTTGCTTTGAGGCCACGGTGGCGGTGGTCCACGCTTTGGTGGCGGTAAAGGCTTCCCTCATGGCACCTTGGTCCCAGCTCTTGCCTGGTCTCGGGTTTGGTGACTCCTGCATCCCAAAACCATTTGTTTTGAGTCAGTTCAGTGTTAAGTAGGAATATTTCTGGGATTTTCCAGGTTTATCCCCGGTCCCAATCTTTGAAGACAACCCGCATATCCACAGTATCACTCGCTGAGGAGGAGGAGGAGGAGCTCGGGAACCGCTGCCGGACTTCAAGGCCTCGAGCGGCAAAATCTTACCTCGTGATTTGAATCGAATGTATGATATACCAGTAGTACCGCACAAGGCGGTGGCGGAAGTTTCAAAAATAGGAAACCTATAGGAGAGCTTGGTGGTTGTGAATCACGAAGGCAGAGCGAACCCACTGATGGACCGAAAGGTGGTGGGAGTTGTGTTTTTTGAAGTGGCTGCAATGGTTGCAGTGGTCACCTCTTCCTCAACTGCTTGATGTAGTGTGGTGTGGTGTAGCGCAGTTGTAATTAGTTGTAGTTGTAGTGTAGAGTAGTGGATTTGTAGTTGTAGCTGCCGTTGTAGTTGTAGTGTAGTGTAGTTGGACCACGGCTTATAGACGGCCGTGTTGGGGTGGTGGTGGGCGGCTCTAGGAGCGCGCGCACGTTGCACTATTTTGCATTGTTGTTTCTTGTTTTTTTTTTTGGTGGGGGGTTTTGGGGGGGGGGCTAATAACGTTCTTGGCTGGCCGTCTTACAAGATATTCTCTTGGACTTGCTGCTACGCTATCCACTCTTCTCTTGCACTGTACCTTGCCACACGCTATCAACTTCTTTTTTAACTTGCAAGACACTCTTGATTTTTGCATTGTTGTTTCTTGTTTTTTTTTGGGGGGGTTTTGGGGAGGGGCTAATAACGTTCTTGGCTGGCCGTCTTACAAGATATTCTCTTGGACTTGCTGCTACGCTATCCACTCTTCTCTTGCACTGTACCTTGCCACACGCTATCAACTTTCGGGGGTCTGCAGCTTCTTTCTTCTTACTCTTTCTCTTCTACTCTTCTTTCTTCTAATCTTTCTCTTCTCTCTGCCTCTTCCTTGCTCTGCTTTTCATCTGTCCATATTGTCGGAAGTTTGACTTCTAAACTTCCTTCGATTATTGATATGTGATGGTAACTCCACACTAGTTTGGAGTTGAATGTGATTTGCTGCGCCTCTAGTGGGTTTGAGGCGCCCAGTGGCCCTGCACCTGCGAGCCTCGCAGCTTTGAAGCCGCCACCTTCCATGGCTGATCTCAATGCCGACCCTAACGCACACAACAGACGCTCGTTGGCGAAATTCTTTGGACGCTTGGGAAGATCAAGGGTCGGTAAAGGCGCTATAAGTTATAGGTGTTTTGATGGCCATCACAAGTTTTCTTTGGTGGAATCTTTGCCTTCAGGCTCCTCAAGATCATCAAGCAAGCTGTGAGAATCTATGAGATACAAACATGATAGAATCATCTAGCCGAATCTAGCCAACATATTTGTAACCAAGAGTGGGTAGGTCAATGGCCATCATAGCAGTGCCGAGGTGGCAGCACGGTTCAAGATCAGGAGATCAAGGTCATTGACTCCAGAGGGCAGATGTCACCGTGGCTGCAGGGGGTTGTCCTTCATGGGTAATTTACCGATTTACACACCAAAAATGGTACATTGAATAGGGACAAAGGTGGGAACATGAACTCTTAGACCAATTTTAGAGGCTATATAATTAAATTCATGCAAACCCAGGGATGATGTGGAAGTTGCCGGCAGCTGGTTTTAAAGATGTGGATTTTCCCAGCAACATCCATTGTGTGGGAAGTGCTGGCATATTCTTGCCGACATGCAGTTGGATTGCTTGCGATTCCGCAACATCCCAAATCCATCCAAATCCATCCAAATCCTTCAATGGGCTGATGCTGGAAATTCTGTACTACCCAGCAGCCAGTCCTTTTCCCATGGGTTGATTCATAGAGGGGAGCGTGCCCCGTTTTTCAACAACTAACGGGTACTGACCTCTGAGGCTGCCTCAGTTTCCACGCTATGCGACTTTTCAGGAGGTGGGAGATGCAAGGGGAGTTGGGGAGATCCTTTCGAGAAACCTTCATGGGGTGTATCCAGTGGTTATGCAATCATGGAAATGACTATAGATAAGGACTATAGATAATGTCAGTTACTAAGTTACACATTCCATGATAGTTGGCCATAGTTGGGTAGCTGGTCACTGCGATCACCATTTTCCGATACTTGCAGCAGGATATGCCATCACAATTGACTGCAGCTGGTCAACCATTTTCCACATCTGACATGGGGCTTGTCTGAGTTTTTGCAGGAAACATAAAACAAATTCTTGATGGCTAGTCACATTTTTTGCCATTGAAACTGCTATTTCTTATGGGCCAATCCCCATAGATCCACATTTTTAAGCATGTCCCATTAACCCTTATGGCTTCCCATGGTTGATCCCAATCTGTTGTTTCCAGAAGATCCAGAGCAGGCGCCATTTTGCTCGTCCATCCAAGCTGATCTGCAGAAGGCCGGCTTTCCAGCGCCCTCGCAGATTCAGCAGCCACTGGGCGAATGTTCAGCGGATGAATGGTGGAAGTCACAGTGGAATTTCTGATCATTTGCTTGGAACAATATCTGCTTGGTGGTTTGGAACATGAATTTTATAACTTTCCATATATTGGGAATAGTAATCCAACTGACTTTCATATTTTTCAGAGGGGTTGAAACATGTTGAAACCACCAACCAAATATGATGACCCCTCAATTTTTCAGAGCCCATTGAAGCTCATCATGCCATCAAAATCCTGGATTCAAGGTCTAGCTTGGGAATCCTTGGGATGGGAATCGAAGGGGGCCAAGGTTTTGGCCTGAACAACCAATGCGAAATGAGCGGAAGTTTTAAAGCTTTCCCCTGGACTGTTCTGTTTCCATCCCCGGAATTTGACATAAAACCTTAAACAGCCATATCCAATTACAATTATGTTATATTTATGGAGTTATCTAGGAGGAAACTCATCCTCAATGGTACCATGCTGCGCTTGGTTCCCGCCACCAAGTTTCAGGAGTTTCAAGGTCTCAACATGTGACCAGAATGTCTATTGAGGTACTCCTGGCCACTTGCAATGCAGGGCTATGATGTGATTGGTGTGGCAGCCACAGGAAGCGGAAAGACACCTGGCGGCAAAGTTGGAAGGCTGGCCTCATTGTGTTGTTGTGGATAATGATTTGATAAGTATGATAATCATGATAAGTATGATAAGTATGATAATTATGATAATTTCAATCATTATTATGATGAGACCCCATGGCGTATTATCATTAGATTAAACATCACAAGCGTCATTTGCTCTCGTGCTGGCTTGGATTCGCTAAGGACGCTGGCCTTCTTGCTGCCCGCCTTCCATTTTCTGATCGAGAGACAGGTCCGCGCAGGAGCCCGCGAGACCTGCGAGACCGGCGAGACTGGGGGGATATGGGAAAGCCGGGAAGCCTTAGCTGGGTATATATATATATATATATTGGGATATGGGATATGGGGATATGGGGATATGGGGATATATATGCTGGGTTCAGGAGATCCTCATTTTCTGGTGATGGCACCAACTCGAGAGCTTGCTGTGCAGATCGAAGAGGAAGCGGTGAAGTTTGGCAGGCAGTTTCTCCAGGGTTGGAGTTGCGCATTCCTCTGGGCCAGACAAATGGTTCTTTTTTTTTTTTTCTGTTGTGTAGTGCTCAATCCAACTTGCAGCTGTCATGGCTTCTCTCGTGACTGATCCAAGCACATTACCCTCTGTTTATCCAACCTGGCAATGGAACAGGCCCTCAGGTCTAAATTATTGTCCTCTCAAGTAGCCAACCATGTTTCTGAAGCGCTGAAATGTGCATCCTCAGTAGGGTTCAACCCGCAAGTTTGGTTGTTTAGACAACCAAGTTTTGATCGCAAAGGTTCACCTTTTCAGTGGCAACCATCTCATCAGGGCCAGCGGCATTCGAACGTGCTGCTGCTATGGGGGAGCTCCCAAGGGACCTCAGGCCATGTCCCTGCGGGACGGCGTGCATGGCGTCATTGGACCCTCGGCAGTGGGCCAGTGATCACTGGGGACCTCCTGCGAACTGGTTGAAGTCAATGATACACATGAAAAAAACGAGTACACACACAGAATTGTTGATGTATAAGATGGTTTTTGAGTAAAATATAGTAAAATAGCAACACTACGAAGAACAATAACAACGACATAATTAGGATACTGATTTTTGGTGGGCTCATTGTTGGGTGGATCCATGTTCCAAAATCGGGGTCATTTCTTCCCAGAAATTACTAGAGATGGCTACATAAAAGGAACACATAGCATGAATTCTACGTATCAATGGATGGTATTTTACGGTAAAACCATGCTTCCCAAGAATCCCTCAGGTCAATCCGATGAGAAGCCGAATTTTCGAGACATCTCCAGTTCAACCAAGGAACTCCGGGCCGAATCAATGACTTCCTGGAGGGTATGCAGCACCTTGGTATCCAGTTGAGGCATGTTTCCTATGAACTATGGCCATTTTCCGGGTTGATCCCAGGGTCCCATTCTCAGTGCCTGGATCCTCCAAGTATCTCAGGGTCCGCCTTCAAGATGTGAACAAGCTGGTGCTGGATGAGGTGGGAACTGAGGGGTGGCAGATGCATGGAGCACTCCAGTGAAATGCTTTCGCAAGACCCAGCAGAATCTTGGTGAAGTGCTAAACCAGCTTAAATCTTCTCAATTTCAAACCAACTCTTGTTGCATCTTAGATGTTTTCAACTTTCATGAAATTCTTGTCTCGTTGACACCTGCAGTTTATGATATGCCAACCTGCTGATGTCAGGCAGATCGCATGCTTGACATGGGCTTTGAACCGCAGATCCGCAAAATCCTTGCGAAGAGACCTGGTGAAATTTTGCGACAGCACAGGGACCTTCAGCATATTTTCCCAGTGCAAAATTGGACTTTTTGGATTCCGAAGTCTGATTTGAGGAGACATAGGGCATAGACTCCTCAAATCATCCCCAAAGGGCATCCACTCTGTCCAGATCCAGCGGGTCCAGCGGGTCCAGCGGGTCCAGGATCACCAATCCACAACGGCACACCATGTTCTTTACTGCCACCTGGCCCATGAGCATCCGACGCCTTGCCGCGGAGTTCCTGAGAAATCCGGTCACTTGGAGTCTCCCAAATGTGTGGGTGACGCCTGAAGGTGAGAAATGGGAGTGGTGAAGGGTTGCAGATAGGAATAGCCTAGGTTATATTGAAATATATTGAAATATGAGGGCTTGGGGGTAGCAACTCTGGCACCAACTGCATGGAGCTGAAACAGATTTTCTCGAAGTGGGCGACAGCTGTCATGGGAATCTTTGACGGCGCATGATCCTGCGAAAACTGAGATCCAAATTCAGATCGGAAACCGGGACGAGCTCAAAGGCAACCAGGACCTGATTGAATGACAGAAAACATGGATGGAATGGTAAGGGATGTTTTGGGAGGATGTGAAGACTGGCTTGTAGTAGTGGTTTGTGCATGTTTGTGCAATCCTTACAATTATAGAAGTTGGTGCACCACTGAGATAACCTGACCACCTCGGCAGGATATTGTGCAGATTATCTCCCCCTGCAACCAGTACAACAAGAACCAGATCTTACTGCAGGTTCTGTCACAGTCAGGCGGCTGCAGGGTCATAGATATTGCAATGAGCTTATGTTGTCTGACATTTACTGTGAAAGGAATCCTCTCAGGTATCATTTTGTGTATCTATCTTCTCCTGATCCTATGTCTTCTTGTCTTATCTTATCTTGTCTCACCGAACGGAGTCTTATCTTATCTTGTTCCATCCCACTGTATCTTTTACATTCTTTTACTATGCTGTAATTTATTGAATCACCTATACCTGCATTGGCATCTACATCTACACATGATATGTTGCTTTGGCTTGATATCCTATACAGAAACATCTATATCAACATACAGTTTCTTCCACCCATCGCTTGGAGCCCCCTGCGCCGGTGCCTGGCAAGGTGTGGGGGATCGCAACAACAGCGCAGCCAAGGCGATCATCTTCTGCTCAACGAAGCGGATGCTGCTCAGCCTGGTGGATTCAGTGGATTTGTCACAATTTCATGTGGATTTCATGGCAATATTATGTGGGTTTTGTAGGGATCTCATGGGGAATTTTATTGTAGATTTTATGGGGGTTTTAGGAGATCTTAAGATAAATACCCAACCAACAATCGGGATATTTGAAGGGCTATAATGGACTATCTTTGCCATACTCTATATATTTGTTTTTCCATCCAACAATATTGGATGATGATGATGATGATGATGATGACGACTTTATCCCTTTTGCGGTTTGTTGTGTACCCTCATCTTTGTCGGTTCTTCATTATCTAGAATCTCTATCTATAGTATATATATATATATGTTATGTATGTATACATACCTAGGAACCCAAATGAATGTTTTTTTTGATCATACGGCCTCAACCATTTTTTTTGGTCATTACGGCTTACGGGTGTTTCCCAATTTGGGGGTTCAGCCATAATCACACACAATTGCTTCACTCCCCCTTTTTCTGTGCTTTGGACCATCAGCTTCAAGCGGGCCCGTCATCTCGGCGAAGCTTCTCTTCGTCGGCTGCTGAGTGTCAGGGTTCGGGCTGTTGACCCACGCTTTGTTTGCCATCACAAGATACCTTTGAAGTACTCTCAATCCAATTGCCCTGGGGGAAATGCGTCGGCTGACGCGACAGCATCTCCCCACAAAGTCCTGAAATGAGACATCCCCAGGGAACGGAAAATACAACAGTGATGACACATACTAGGATAGGACCACATAACGACCAACATATCAAAATTCAAATAAATTCAAACTAGACTCCTCATCAGCCTGCACTGACTCCGCTAGGATGTTCAGTGTCCATTTGTTTTGGGCTCCAGATACCAAACGACGCCAGTGATGGTCCAACATGTGAAACTTAACATAGATCGGGAAGCGTGATTTTCGCTCAGTGAAGCACCTATAGGCAAGATTTGCATAGATACGTAACCACTTTCTTCCGTTGTTTCCAGCTGCAAGCGCTTCATTGGACGTCAGCCACAACCCAGACGAGTAACGAATTGAAAAAGTGTCGTTGGCCGCTTTGACAGCTTCAAGAATCATCAAAAAATACTCGTCCTCATTGAATTGATTAATCCTCCCTGTCAAGAACCATTCCACAAACCTGTGGTAGATATGCGTGTCAGCAAACTTTGACCAACCTCCTTCAGGTAAGACCTGGGAGCTTGTAAGGCCAATTCTCTCCGCAACAAATGGACCTGAATGAGGAAGGTTGCAACCCGGCCGTTTGGCCCACTGACGTAGGAGAACATCCAACTGGGAAATTTTGTCTTCCCTTGACCCCGGCAAAAGAAGCAAACATTCAGCCAGCACTGAAGCTATGAAAGTTTTACCTGCTCCTCCATGGTAGTTGTGCCAAACATCAGTCTTGAGATAGTCATGGGGACGATCGATACAATGAAACAATTGCAGCACTGAAGGTCGTGTAACCCAAGGATCAACTGTAGCAACCACAGACCATTGAGCATCTATGTTGAAATCTTCAAAAGGCCCCCCTGGCTTTGTGCCAGCCAAACACATCCAACAAACCCCAGGAGGAGATTTGTTTTCCTCTGACCTGTGCGCCCTTTGCCAATGCCTCGTCAGGTCTCCAACGGTCCTCAAAAACGGAAGATCCCCTTTCACACCTAAGCAAGCGATGTTCCATCTTTCCCCTGCGTAGGTAAACCCAATGTCTTGAAGTTTGAGGAGGTCATTGATCATCTTGTTGAGTACAGCCTGGAAATTCTCCTGAGTAAGGATAGGGGGCTGAGTGGGATTAAAATTAATGTCACAGGAAAGGACAACCAAAGGCAATCTAAGAGGATAGAAAATGAATAATATCATAGTCCCAGAATCTGGTTTCGCCTTGTAATGTTTCTTTGGCATTGCAACAAACAGCATTCGACTGTTGAAAGAGCTCTCTTGAAGGTTGATACCCATCTTGAGTTGACGAAGAGATCTAATTGGATGTCTTTTGAGGAAAGGTTTGCTGCCACGACCAATGGCCCCTTGTAGGCTCAATATCATGACACCCGATCGTTTGAATCCACGACCTTCATCACCATGAATGTAAACTGGAATTGTTCGTGATAGCGACAGCTTGTTTTCAGCAGCAGCTCGAAAGACTCCATAATCTGGCCATTCAAGGCTGTAACGTCGCCAAAACTCTAACAACATTGGTTGCACTTGTTCCATGGGTTGTTCCCCAAACAACTTGGACAAGTTGTTGGATTGAACCAAGTAGTCAATGGTGTCAAGCATACTGAGCACGGGGTAGCTATCACCACCATCCAAGTCAACCCAGGAAACCGGAATCTTCAACGCCAGGTTGTGCTTCTCAAACCTTGGTTGGGGCAGGGTTCAAAGTTAAAAAGTGCAAGTTGAAATGCAACCCAAAGCATCCCTAAAAAGAATAATTGCCGTAATTTTTATATGGGATCATATGGAGTCAGCTTCAGCTACGTCACAGTTTATGGCATTCGTCTTCTGCTCTCTTAGTTGGCACACTTGCAAGACGGGAAGTGATTGGGCAACTTGTAGATCCATAATGATCGACTGCGGCCTTGCTCATCTCAGCTACAGACTTGGCGGTGGCCTGGGCGATCAAAATCCAATCGTTGGGGGTACAATAAGCTAGAGATCTGAAAAGGGTCATGTGAAAGAGATCATGCGAAAGAGGTCATGTGAAAAAGATCATGCGAAAGAGATCATGTGAAAGGATTCATGTGAAAGAGATCTGGTGAAGGAGATCATGTGAGAAAAAAAACTTTGAAGCAGGAGCTTTTGACCTTTTTCTTTGCCAGGGATCGCTAGCGTATGTCATGTAATTTTCAGCATCACGTAGGGCAATGGGAGCACCACGTGGGAACAATAGCGTGCACATTTAAGCAAATTTGCACAACAGCGCAAGCCATACTGCATGGCCTAGCCATAACGAATTGGCAATTGAAAAAAGCCCACTCAGCTGCCACAGCTCACATTTTGATCGGTTTCATCACGGTTCACTTCCAAGTTGATGAATTTCCAATTGCTAATGACCGTATCCAGAACCTGTAGTTGCTCCAAATCACGGAGTCTTTGCCTTGCTTCAAAGGCATGCTTTTCAAAAGGCCGTTTGGGTCCTGCCACAAACCCCCAGGGCAAGTCTGGGTCGTGAACACCCAAAGCTTCAAATGAAGCCTTCAATGAGGCCAGAATTCTTTCCCTTTTCTCAACTACACGGGCTCGAGTATCCATGGGGAGCTGACGACTAAACTATTCTGATTTTTTGTTTGTCTTTTGGGCCAAATCTCCAGAATGGTGGCTTGTCCAAAGTATCTAAATATAATTCATAGTTTGATATAGTTTGTTTTTTTTTCACCCTTTCCCTCTTGGGTCCCCGGCACCATTTGCAATGCACGATGCTGCATGCTTTCCCATTGGTCCAACAACACCTGGCATGGCCAAGGTGCTGATGCGATGGCAATGGGATCTACAGAAACAGTGGGAAGGCCAGGGATGGGTCTTTCTGGGCATGCTGCACTGCATGGATAAGATTTGTTGCACTACCCGTGGACGATTTTTTTCATGGAATTCACGCTAGGCCCAGGTGAGCATGTTCAGGGTTGACTCCAATGCAACCACACGCTTGAAAGGGCTGTGAGATCGATCCAAAGCAAATCATTTCAGAATTGCAAAACCCCATTTCATGAAGTTTGCCTTTACTTGGCAGACTTGGCTTTCGCCTTGCTCTTTGCCTTCGACTTTGGCACCTTTGGTGCTGGCAACTCAGAATTGGTATCGTCGTTCTCAGACTTGCGCTTGGTCCGGGCAGATTTCAAAGCCGGCCTTAGGTATGACCATGTGGTGATATACCGTGATATGTGCATCAGACTTTATAAGATCGATTCTACTTCAAATATATATGATATAATATGAATGAATATACATATGCACATGTATGTTCACACTGTTCTCACCAGAATTTTCTGGGGCGAATGCTGGGCTTGGACTTCTGCACGTGTAGCCTTGCTTCCCCTGGGACGGCAAAAAACATAAACCCCATGGTTCCACCACCCATAGAAATCCAGTTGTTCAGAGTGGTTTTAAATCAAGGCACAAGACTTCTGCGTATTCCAATTGCTTGTCAATGTTCTGAGCCAACCTCAAAGTGCCGGGGCTGATGGAATGTCAGTAATGTTTTTGCTATATACCATTTTATAACAATAGATTCAACATGATTGTGCCAAAGAAACGTATCAGACGGTTTTGTCTTCACTGCACGGTAGCGAGCCAGGCTTGTAGCCAATGCATCATAGTGAGTGTCCATGGCTTCATAGGCAGTCTTGAGGATCGACTTCACACTTAGGGTATGGCTTTAAATGAGATGATGCAAAGGTCACTCATGAAAACAAATACTGTTGATTCAAATTTGATTGTGTGATCATTGAACGCCAATCCTACCAATACTAAAGTGGCCTGGGGTTCTCAACTTTTGACTCGATGTCTCGCAACTTGGCCGACTTTGCCAACAGAGCTTCCATGGACTTGGTCAACAGCACATGTGTTTCCTGCTCTGGGTCATCGATTGATAGACAAAAAATGTAAATATACTTGCATGACAAGGGTTCCCCCTACGATAAACGGTCAGTCCTGCTTCTCCACATCCGCATTAGGTGGCCTGGGCTCACTTCCTGGAGGGTCAGCGGCAGCCTCTTCCTCAGCTCCTCGATCCATGGCCGCGGGGTCCTCCAGGGACAGGGTCCTGAACTCAACGGGCCTGGCAGAACCACAGATTTCCTCCTCCTCTTTGGTTTGGGTATATCGCTTTGTCAACTCCCCGGACTCATCCACTTCGATGTAGTGCTGTTCGATCTTGGGATTATACTTCCATTTCCTGCCATGATTTTCCGGTAATCGGGCTATGATAACTTAAGATGCAATAAGTTGAAATCATATTGAAACATCCATAGCCTTCGAAGCTTTGGTCGGTCAGCTGTGTAAGCGGTCACTGCGTCAATCTCGCACCTCAGGGGTGATTCT